ATTTGCTCGGTTCATCGTAGGTTTTTTGGTGGCATGAACCAAAAGACTTTTCTCCCCCTCCCTAATCGTATTCCACTTCTGGAAAGGCTTTGATTTCCATGTATATGGAGCAAAATTGATAACGGCAGGGAACTGCCCCGGAGAAATGAGGCAGGGTGATAAGATAAGGAGAACAGATCCCCGTCCAGACAAAAAAGACAAAGAGGAGAGCCGTCACCCCACGTGGCGGTTAATCTCCATTCAATCCAGCGATTAGTTAAGTCAAAATTCTCATCGCTGCACCCTGGCAAATGATTAGTCAGCTCCCTAAGGGGAGATGGGTAACTGGTGGCTACCTTGCAAAACCTCGGCATGAAAGCTGATCAATAATTAGTTCCCCGTTTGAGTCAGAGCGGCAGCTTCGGGGTCACGATGTGTATTTCAAGGACAAAGAAAAAGGTCATTGTACCAGCACAGTGCTGATTTGCCTCTGATTCTGGGCATGAAGGTTGCCAAAAACACGAACAGTAAGTGCACGTCCAATCAGTTGCAGTTTCGACACTCAGAGTGAGCATGTTTTCCAGGAAAGAAGGATGTTTGCCCAGCCTGTGGGTTCTATGCTAATAGACTGTTTTAATCAAGTCTAATCGTATTGTCACAGCAGAGCGTGAGCGATTAGCATTCAGAGAGGCACGGCGGGGCAAAGCCTGACATCGATAAATGACATGTGACCCCTGACTCTGACTACTCCGACTGCTGAGAAGTTCCACTCCTTTTATCGCTCTCACCCCGGGCCACTTCATTTCCGGTACCACGGGTAATCATGATGTACTCCATCGGCTGTGGGTCTAGGGGGCACACTTCTCAGGGGACTGAGACAGAACACCTGTGGTAGTGCTCATATTTATTATTGAAGGAAACGAGCAAGTTGTTCAATGTGACTATTGTTTATTGTGTATATGAGCTGGGACTGCACTGCTACTGTAGTTAGGTCAATAGCTTTTTGCTCAAAGGCACTTTTTTTCTAGTTTTGCCTCTGCACGCTTTCACAGTGGATTTTGAATCATAATACCATGGTGGGATTGAAGGCGAGACTTTGAACTTTAATTGAAGTGGGTTTATAAAAATTACAGCCATTTTTATACGCAGACTGTCAAATCAAGAATTTGGTACATTTTTGAAATGAAAAGCAAAATCTAAAAGAAACATCCAAAGAGGTGACACAGTTGTGGAAAGATGAAACCATACTTTTATTTATGCATAACCAAAATGATAGGAAGACAAAATCATGGAGATGGTGAGAAACAACTTGTGATTTTAAGTATAGCGCGCCATCTGTCAAACATGGTGGAGGCAGTAATATGGCATGGGAATATATGGCTGCTAATGATGTGATTGCTGATAGAAGTAGCAGGATGAATTGTGAAGTGTACAGTGCTGCACTCTCTGCTCAGATTCAAAGGTGATCAGACAGCATGTCACAAAAGTGGATAATGAGCCAAAGCATATGGAAAAAAGCAACCCAGGAGTTTCTCAAAGGAAGGACGTGGGATATTCTTCAATGGCCAAGTCAGTCACTGGATCTCAACCCGATAGAGTTATTAAACACAAGACTGAACGCATAAAGACATGAGAAAGTGTGCATAAAAATGGCTGTATTTCCTAAACAGTTAATAGACTCATCCATCCTCTAATATCATTTTATAGTAGTGTTTTTGGGTTTTTTGCTCTGTTTTGTGGTAGTTAGCATGTCTTTGGAAGTAGTGCTTCTGTTGGGAAGTATAGTATGGAATTGCATGCAAATCAACTATTTGTTAAAGTCCACAACTGTCCATCAATGTAGACCCAGAAACTTTAAAAAATCATAACTTATTGACTGAGATCATACTGAGTCTGAGTATGGTCCTATTCAACACGATCATACTGAGACCACAGCGGGAAATGGGAGGCAGGAAACGCTCTTTAAGCACTTCTTCTTTGGCTTGAGCAGAAACATTTGCATGCCAGCATGTCTCCAAATTAAATTTTGTGTGCTTTCAAAAGGCAGCTGTTTGCTAACATCTGTGACATATCCACGTTTTATGTCATTGCTGAAAACAGCTTGCTCCACTGCCCTATATTGCTCAAAACAAACAGGAAAAAAAAATCAGTTAATACTGCTTTAGTATTACCAGATCCTTCAGTCTCAAAGGATTAAGTGTTGTGACCTTGAAGCAGCAGTCAAGAAATGAAAAGCCACAAAAAGGTAGTGAATCAGCATTAGGATTCATGCAACTGAACAGATGCAATGCCGATGCTCAGGGGGGTTTTAACTTTGTTTCAGTATCGTGCCACACCTTTACCCTTGTTGTCTTGCTCTAAGCCATTTTTGTTTCTCCACCAAGAACACCACAACACCGGCTTGTTAATCTCGTGCAGCCGGAGCAGCTGTTTTTTCAAGGTCAAAGAGGTCTGGAGAAAATCTTGCTGATAAATCTTGAAATAATCAGACGATGCAAATCCAGATGCACGCACTAATTTGTGTAGATGAAACCCCGTCTTCGATTTCTATCTAGGTCAAAAGAAGCTCTACATACCGCAGCTTTATATTAGTGTCAGTGTAACAAGGCGTCTGTGTTTTCTAACTAACCTTGGATTTTTTATTGTTTTCCCACCGTGCATGAATATTGAATTTTAAACTATCAGCAGTGAAGTGGATGGGTGGGGTGGCAGGGGGGATTTGAGGATTTTTGTGATGCTGCTGGAATTTATATCCAGCCATCACTTGAACCACACTGGAGCATACTGTATGCAGAATAACAAGTGGCAGCATGGAAGCAGTTAGTCTAGCTTCAGCGTGGAGGATACACATGGTGGGAGCTCAAGCTCAAGGTGTGAGGGTTTATTAGCCGCTGATATTAAATCCCAAGAACAGGAAATAAAGCAGATGGACAATGACAAGTGCCAGTTTGCATTTTGGGTTGGAAAAGGAACTTGGATTCACACCCATCTGCCAAACTCGC